CAAATCACCCAGGAAATAGTGAAGAGGATATTAAGAACTTAAACATGAATTTTTGTTTGGCTTTTTAAAAATTAACCAATGATTAAATAATAGTTTTTCATTTGGAAGCTTTGAAGTTCACTTTATGGTATAAAAAAAATTATATATGATTTCTGGCCAAAAAAAGAAATTGTATCGAATGACACAAGAGATGAAGCAATTTTCAGTTTAAAGGATTCCTCAATCCAATAACTGTCATTGCAATATGGCAGCTTTATTGGCTTCAGTTTTATTTATGTAACCTTTGTCATTGTATCTACACAGATGCTTGTTTGTTTTTCAATATAAAACAATATTTGATGATTGTATTTGATCAAAACTCTATTTTGTATACCAAGTTTAAGTTTCACTATTGGATAAGAACAGAAAAATATTCATCAATTATTATTCTCAGTGGGTCTATGGAATCAAAAGAGTAACAACTTGGATTGGTACTGTGTTTTTTTTTGTTTTTTTTTCTTTTATTCTAAGGATTTTAAATATATTTTTCATTCAAACAGAATGATACAAGATTAGTTATTTAGATATGAGCTATTGTCAAAAAAGTATTTCGATTTGGAACAATTTTTAGCAAATTCATGTTTGTTTATTAAACTTTAAAGACAAAAAATAGTGGATAAAAGAAAAAAAAATGTAACATAGGCATACATACATATGTGTATATAGATTGCAGATTAAAAAAAAAAAGTCCCTTTCTGAGTTTTTGAGTTTTATTATAAATAAGAAATGGATGGCTGGCCCAATGGTTAACAGCATTAAAAATGGAACCAGGGAATAAGGTTAAAATTCTAACTGATGCAGTCTCTATTCTCTTAGAAGAGGCCTATATATATATATATATATATATATATATATATATATATATATATATATATATAGCGTCTAGCATGAAACAGACTGTCGCCTGTAAGTGTTGACTTCTATGTTCACTTATATATATATATATATATATATATATATAAAAACTATAAACTTATGAGATGTACATCAGTGTGTAAAAAAAATTCTGAAATTCCATTCATGTGATAACATTTGTTTTGTTGAAATATAATGACATTTAAAAAAAAAAAAAAGAAACAAAAGAAAAGCTATCTATGAACACCAGAGCTATATAAATCGGGGATAAATTAAATTATTTATTCTATATACAATATACAAACTATAGTTTAAATTTTAAAAGCATCAAAATTATTAAATTTATTTATCTTGAATCAGCTATGTTATCCCAATTTCAATTTGATCAATCAAGAAGTAGATTTTTATAACATATCGCCCTTCCTGGCTAAGATAATACTTTAAGAAAACAATATTAAAACAGATATTCATTAAACGTCTTTTTTTAAAAGAAGTTATAAATTTCCTTAGCAACTAAATGGTATCTTTCAATTATAAATTGAATTATATGTGGTCATATTTTCTTTGGATATATGCGATTTATTTTTCTTACTACTATAACTTTTGTTTTCCTATAACAGTTTACCATGTTTATTTTTTATTTTACCATTTTCTTATGTACAAATCTAATTGATCTGTTTTCAGATATTTAGTTTTAAATTTTATTAACTCTTAATTTACAAGAAGAAAATTTTTTTTTAAAGTGTCAATTTTAAGATCTTTTATTTTTTTTCCTTAGATTTTTCATTTCTTCTGATGATGCTGGAATGGTAGACAGCCATGGTATAGAAAGATTTATTCTTCTATTTATATTTTCCCCCATATGGACATTATTAAATCCATGATACAACAATGCCATAGTTTGTGGATGAACTGGAATGGCTGAAGAGAAAAAGAATGACAAACTTGCTTTGTTCTCAGAGAGACTGTTATACTAATAAGACATACACAAAACTATATATACACATGTTCCATGCAGAGAATTATACATCACATATATCTACACAGCAAAAAGTGTAAGGAGAAACAAAAAAACAAACAAATAATATGGAGATACTCCTGTGTCTGGAGAAGCCATGTTTAGGACTCCTAGATTCAAACGGGCCGGATTCATCTATATCCCAGGGAAGGATATATTCCGCAAATGGGAAATAACATATCTTGGGTTTTCCCAAATTGAGGACTGCAAGCCAGTGTTTTTTCCTATATCTGGGAAAGATATGTTCTCAAAGGGAAATGGCACCATAGGCCTGTAAGCTGCTGAGGTGGCAGATTTAGACTTTAACAGCAACGTTATGGTTTAGCTGCTGAAAACAAACTAAAAATTAACTGGTGCTTTCATCACTGTATTGCTTGACATCACTTAGTGACTGTCTGATAGCCCGTGGGACCACCAAAGGGAGATAATTACATTTTTTTTTTATTTATTTATTTATTCATACAATGCTCATATAAAGAAAACTGTTAGCAACAGAATAAAACAATTTTAAATATGCAATTGGTTCAAAAATCTTTGTTCAGATATTTCATATCGGTCAATTTTATCAAATATAGTAGTCCTTGCTAGTAGAGTAGTCCACTGCTATACCATGGGCCTTGGGGTCTGGGATGGCTGAACCATGCTGCAAGTGAATCGCAGTAGCTGTGGTGGGGTGCCATGATAATAGGAGGTTGAACACCTACATGATTTTTGGGCCCTATTTGCCCTATTTCATGATATATACCGTAGATAATGACTTGAAAAGAACCTCAAAAAATTATACTAATTTATGCCAATGATTCCATAAGAAATTTTGGGTAATTTGCTTTTTAAGCCCTGCGCTAAGTATCTAATAAAAATTTCTTGAACAGTTACTTTTTTATTCTAAATTTATAAGCCTAATTAAAAAATAACAACAGAATTTTTACAAAATCTACCATTTTTGAGTTATTGACAATAAAATTTTGAACTCCTTTCTATCATTGTCAGCTACGTCACAGCAGCCATTATTGATGGTGTTTGCATCAGTGTGTATGCAATAATTGAGACAAGTGAAACTCAATTCCGCAGAAAATATATGCAAACAACGTCAGTAATGGCTGCCACGATGTGAATGAGTCTGAAATTTTATTGTTGATAACTCCAGAAAAGTAGATTTTATTAAAATTTCTTTCTTATTTTTGAATTAAGCATGTACATTTACACCTAAATATAACTATTTGGGAAATTTTTATTAGATACTTAGCACACTTATTTCAGTGTTTTACAGCAGATTTTTTTATACAATAAATTTTAACTGTCTTCAAAAGTACTTCCTCTTGCAATTCTCGATTGTGACCCCTAATTACTATGTGCTATTTATATTTGTTTATTTTTTTTTTTATTTTTTATTATTTTTTTTAAGCATTACACCCCAAGCAAGGCGTGAAGCCACTAGGATGCAGGGGGTTGCGGAAGATTTGGAGCGAGAGCAGATAGGAGTGATAGGAGAAAGGATGAGGAGAAGGATAGTGGGTAGATCAAGGTAACTGGAGATGTCAATTGACATTACATTTGAATAGTTGGAGATTATAGCTTTCTGGGGAAACAGTAATTTGGGAGGGTGTTCCAATGGCGAGAGGTGCGAGGTATGAAGCTATTGGAGTAGAAGAGACGGCTACATTTGAAAGTTTCTATGGTGTAAGGGTGGGAGCGGGATGCCAGCCTCGTGGCGCTTGAATTCATGGAGTCTGGGAACCAGTGAAAGCAGCTCATCAGAGCAGTTACCATGGAAGTATTTGTAGAAAAGACAGAGAGAGGCAACGGCGCATCTGTGAGAGACTGACTGCAGACGAGACGCTAGATCAGGGCCAATTAGATTACATATCCATCTCTGGATCTTGTCAAGAACTCCGAGGTAACATATATATGGCAGCAATACTCCATGCAAGGGCGAATGGTTGTTTTGTATATTTGAAGTATTGATTCGGGGAGAAAAATTTCCTGGCGCGGCACAGAGAGCCAACTTTCCTCGCGGTGGAAGAAGCAATTGACTCAATGTATTTGTTCCATCTCAGGTCAGCAGTCAGCGTGAGACTGAGCAGACGCAGGGAGTTGCTCTCGGGAAGTTGACTATCAGACATTTTAATGGGGGGCAGGGAAGGATCTCTATGGTGGTTAATGGAGAGTAATTTAGTTTTTGTGGCGTTAAAGTTGACCAGCCAATTCTTGCCCCAGTTAACAACCGATTGAAGGTCCATTTCAAGACGCACGGCCAGGTTAGATTTGTCGCCGACACTAGATTTGTTTTTGAGGCAGGAGTAAATTGTAGAGTCGTCTGCATAGATGCCAGTTTGGGAATCTATAGCGTCAAGAAGGTCATTGATGAAAATAAGGAAAAGAGTGGGGCCAAGGATGGAGCCTTGGGGAACACCTGCGTTCGTGGGATAGGAACTGTTAGACAGTCAAATTGAACATGATCAACCAGAGAAAAGTACAACTATTTATATCCCATCCGTGGTATCTGATTGCAGTGATTGAATTCCTGTTAATTAGTCCAATATTACGGGAACTCTTTGATTGTGCATGAAATAGAAATATAAAGTAATTGTGTGTAATTATTACCAATACAATTGGATTAAGTGTGAAATGGCTGAGGTGTTAAAATTTTGCAAAATCTGGGATGTATGATCATTAAAATCAAGTTAAAATGTGTGAAAAAGGGGCCTAATTATTAAAACAAATTAGGACCCATCTGATGATCACTGTTTGTTGTCTGTCTGTCGTGAAGATGGCCCAGAAATTAGTAAAATAGGGTGGAATTCATAAAATAGTGAGTGATATTGAGGGTACAAGAGCAAAATCTTGGGGTTCACCACCCACTGATGGTACACCGGGTACAGTGGTAAACTTGTTCACCTCATAGTGGTGGATTAGTGTGTGTGTATGCATGCTTGTAAGTAACACACCTGAAAGACAAAATGTATTGAATGTGGAAATTCATTTTTTGTAATATTTCACTAAAAAAATTTCTTATTCAAATGTGAGAAAGAGAAAAGGTGTGAATGATTTAAAAAAAAAAAAACAAAAAAAAAAAAAAACTAGAAAATTAACAAAAACAGATGTTGGAGGGTAATGTGGATGAGAAAAATGAAATGAATGTAAATAAACAGAAGAAAGAGGAAGAAGAGAAAAAAATCAAGGTGAGAAGAAAAAGGATTAAATGATTGGAAAGAAGAAATGAAAAATAAAGAAACAAAATGAAAGAAGGAATGAAACACAAAGAAAATGAATGAGAGAGAAAAAAGGAAGCTGCAAAAATAGAGATTAAATCTAAAGCGAGACAAACAGTAAATAAGGTAGAATATGAGAGAGAGAAACGACAAGGGTAGAATATGAGAGAGAGAAACGACAAGGGTAGAATATGAGAGAGAAACGACAAGGGTAGAATATGAGAGAGAGAAACGACAAAGGGTAGAATATGAGAGAGAGAAACGACAAAGGGTAGAATATGAGAGAGAGAAACGACAAGGGGTAGAATATGAGAGAGAGAAACGACAAAGGGTAGAATATGAGAGAGAAACGACAAGGGGTAGAATATGAGAGAGAGAAACGACAAGGGTAGAATATGAGAGAGAGAAACGACAAGGGTAGAATATGAGAGAGAGAAACGACAAGGGTAGAATATGAGAGAGAGAAACGACAAGGGTAGAATATGAGAGAGAGAAACGACAAGGGTAGAATATGAGAGAGAAACGACAAGGGGTAGAATATGAGAGAGAGAAACGACAAGGGTAGAATATGAGAGAGAGAAACGACAAGGGTAGAATATGAGAGAGAGAAACGACAAGGGTAGAATATGAGAGAGAGAAACGACAAGGGTAGAATATGAGAGAGAGAAACGACAAGGGTAGAATATGAGAGAGAGAAACGACAAGGGTAGAATATGAGAGAGAAACGACAAGGGTAGAATATGAGAGAGAGAAACGAGAGAAAAAAAAAACAGATAAAAAGTAAAGTAAATGAGAGAAAGGGAAAACATGGAGAGAGGAGATTTAGTGAGAAATAAGAAAAAGTTCAAATAAATATGCAATATCTCAACGAAAGATGAATATTTTCGATCAAACATCAAAAACAATAAGTTCTTTATGGTAACAGGAAGAAATTACCGTTTCCTTTTTATATTTGTTTTAAAGATATCTTCAGCTGTCGAGATGATGTCAGGCAGAAGAGATGTAAAAAGATGGGGACATGATGACTTTGTCAGGTACCTTGTGTTTGAAGAATGAGTTGAGCAAAAAATAATTTTGTGTACCATTACCACGGAATATAAAGAACTGTAACAAAAAGCCAAAGAATAAAAATTGGAATCCTTATTGGAGAAAGGAAATGTTTTGAATATATATTGTGTTATTTTGGATTTTACCTGGCTGTTATTGCATAATAGACAATTTTAAAGAGGGACTTGAGGACTAGAACAATATTTCCTTTGGCAACAAGTCACAATCAGCCATCATCACTGCACCTTGTGACAGACAGCAGGCATTGTATCTTTGAAGGAATGCAAGTTTATCATTTTCTTTCCTATTTTCTCCATAATACCAGCTGTCAGCTTGAAGATCAACTTTCTTAGCAATGGTGGACCCTTGTGTTATTCTTTTAACTAGGCAAGATTAGAATCTTCCTGTCGAACATTACACAGAAAAATCCAATTTCATATTTTGCTGGCTGTTGTGTTATTCATCTCTAAATGACATGCTGACATATGCATGCGTACGCACGCACGCACGCACACACACACACACCTCAACAATAGCAATTCATTTCAGAGAGAGAAACAAGGAATAATCGAGAAAATAAATAAGCAATAACAATGAATAGAGAGAGAGGATGGAGTAATGCGAGAGAAAGAAGAGGAAATAATAAAAACAGGAAAAGAAGAGGAGAAAATGAGGAAGGAGTGAGATGAGAGAATAAAAGGAAAGAGGAGATGAGTTAGGAAAGAGATGAAATAAGAGTAAGAGATAAGAACAATGAAAGAGAAATTACAGGGAAAGAAGAGAAAAATAGAGAAACGTAGGAATAGAAAAAGAGAAGCAAGGGAAGAGTAGTAAAAGAAAAGGGGAAGATAGAAAGAGAAAAGGAGGGAGGAGAAAAGTAAGAAATAGAAGAGGAAGTAAAGAAATGATTATGACATATAAAATAAAACAAGATAATGATTCCTTCTCAAAGAAAAAGAAATTGAAAAAGAAACTCATTGGAGAATGAAAGTGAAAAAAATGTGAAAAGAAAGAAAAGAGCAAAGGTAGCAATGAAAATAAGGAACAAATCAAATTTTATTGTCATCTCTCACACTACCCAAGTGTATGCATCCTGGGTAGGTGGGGGTGGTATTTATTTTAGCCTGAATCAAATGAAATTTCACCGGAGATGAACAAGAGAATGTGTTTACGTTTGCAACAAAATGGCAAATAAACAGTTTTTAGCAGACAAGCAACAACAACAAGATGGTTGTTATCAGAAATTGCAAGCCACAATTTCATTCCACTGGTTTTGAAAGTGGAGGAAATAAAATGCTAAACTCTTCTTACAATTGTCTGCTTTGACAATCATTCATTCATTTTCTTTTTTTAACTGTTCATTTTTGTCTTCTTTTTTTTTTTTTTTCCCCCTTCAATCATTCATTTGCAATTGATTTTATGTAAGAGTGAGATTTTGTTCTTATTTTTGTCCTTGTTGTTTGTTTTTTTTTTTTTTTTTCTTTCTTATCAATGAGTAGATTTCTGGGGATCATAAAATAACTAATCCTTACTGATCTGAATGAATCTAATACAAAAGAATTGACGAAATAATGGAAGGGAAAAACAAATGTGACATTTTTTGGCAAAATTTGATTTTAGAGTTTTGTGCCATCAAGGAATCTTCAGTTAATCTGATGTTTTCTTTCCCCCTTACACCCCCCTCATGATATAATCTCCATTTTTCTTCTTCAGGTTGACTTAACACAAAATAGTTGTCATCTCAGGGAAAAAATGTAAGCATTAGGAATTAATTGCAACAGAATATTGTTTGTTTTTTTGTAAACATGGCTATGATATAAATAGTTGTGAATTATGTTGGAAATGTGTGTGGTTAATAATGGTTACCCAGCATAGGAAACAATTACTAAACCAAGGACACTTAACGGCTTTGAGAAAAGTCCACTTTTTTGCCATTACCAGATTTCTTAACAAATAATAAATGATCATGATGAAAAAAGTACATGAATAAACTCATGGATAAACCACTCTCCCATAACTACATTTGTATGAGAGGCTAATAAAGCTACATGGTTAGGTTAAGAAAAACGTGTGCCTTACGTTACTCAATTAACAAAGACATGTCCTGTTAAAGTGTAAAAAATATTTTCTATTGCAATCAATGAAAATTTTTAAAAACAAAATGAGTAAAGGTTGAGCATCTTTCTAAATTCCTCTTGCATTCACTTTTGCACAAATGTTCTTGAGAAAAAGATAAATCCATCTCTTCTCACCACCCCTCTAGCTATGGGTTAAATAGTCTTTGGCAACCAGTCAAAGAGAAGGACAATTCTAAATTTCAAGCTGGAGAAAGCAATGGGGGGGGGACTGCATTATTTTCTTTTCTAACAATTCATAGTAATTTGCAGATGCTGAAGAAAAGGAATCTTTTCTTATTAAAGAAATATGGTATTTAAAAAAAAAAAAAACCCCAAAAAACCAAAAAGACGACAAAAAGCTCCTGCGTGCTTTGCAATGTTTAATGATAGCAATAATGACCAAAATACGAAAAAACATTTTGAAAGCACTACATTGATGAAAAAAAGCAAGCATGTATTAAAATTTTAACATCTTTACTGGTTTTGTAACTTTTTTCTTTCCTTAAAAAAGGTTTTCTATTTAGCTCTGTAATTTATTAACATAAGTAGAGTGCTATTTATGCTGTTCTGACTGTTGTCCTCATCTTTATTGTCATACTCAAGACCTTTTGGCCATTGTATGCTCCGGCCATCTTCATGTGGTATATGTCAGAATTTCAAACTGAACCCTTTATTTAGTCCACTGGGATGGATTGTTCTAGTTCCACATACCATGCCTTTTCTAGATATCTGTTTCAATTATTTTCTGTAAATAGTTAAAATAGAGACCCATAATAAGAGTTATTATATGCAGTTTTTATATTTATACCAAGAACACTAGCATCAAAGAAGTGTGTCAATTAAAGAAGAAAAAGAAAACATTTGAATTTTAGCAAAATATGTCTCTAGGATTGATTAAAATTTAATCAGCTAGAATAGAATTTCCCTACATTTTATCCTGTTATACCTTCTTATAGGTGGCCATGTTGAGTACCAATGTTAAAAATAATGAACAATAGTGTTATGGCAAATATTAAGGCAGATAACATTTCTAAGCTCACACTTCATTTTATATCCCTGCAGAAGCTTAGTGAGACAACATTTACTAATAACATGCATCCGGATGGGTGCACACATAAACAATGAGTGGATCAAATCTGATGAAACTAATTATTTATGATAATTCAATCTTAAAAATACCAGCACAATATAATTATGGTTTTGTAGTAAATAAATCAGACATGGAATCCTTCCAAAAAACTTAAATGCAGGTTTGATATAATAGAGAATAAAATGATTTTCTTAGTTTATGGTTCTCTTCTGCTTCTTAGTCCATTTTATTGTCCATTATTTGCTATGTAAAGTTCATATAGTATATAAATAGATATTTTAATAGCTTTTCTCAATTGTTATTTTCTTGTAAGCATTTGTTTCATTAAGGGTGACTAGGATTGTGAATAATAATGACATGAACAATTTTTTAAGTATTTTTTTTTATACTATTTTCATCCAATACAGGGCCTAAGAGCCACTCAAGGTAGAAGGTGACTAAATGAAGTTGTTGTAATGGCTTAAAGGAAGTAAGAAGTACATCATGAAGATATATATGATAGATAATGGTTGACTGAAGTCATTAAGGTTGTAGCAATCAAAGAAGCATTCTCTCAGTTCAGCAGAAGAATCTGAGTGGAACTTCCTCCTTACTAATGGAATATGTAGAGAATGAAGATGAGTCACCTCTATGAACATTCTGTGAATGTCTGAAATGATGGAAGTAAAGAATGTAGCCTCTGAACATTTGCCTTAGAAATCCTGATAGTTGTTCTACAAACACAAATGAAACAAAATGATTTTGTGATTGCTTTTGGTGAACAGAAATTTTATGCAAGGAAATCTTATTTGTAAATATTTTTCATTCAACTTGGATGCGAGTAAATTAGAATTGCATATCTCTTAATATTTGATAAATGAATAAAATGAATTTTTAAATTAGTAAAAAAAAAACATTTTTGCTTTTGTTTTGAATTTTGTCTTCACATTTGAAACAATTATCATTTGTATAGTTTCCTTATTAAAATGAAGTTGTGAGTTGTAAGGAAGAGCACTTGTTGGGAGAAACATGGGACAACAATCTCTGAATTAAAATCTTTTTAAATTTCTTTGAAGGTTACTTAGTGCAACATAACATCTGTGGATGGCCATAAAGTTCATCCAAAATGCTAGATGATCACAGTGGCTGGCACCATGTTGTTCATGGAGGAGTCACAAAGGATGGAAAAAAGGCGAAATCAACTCCTGGTTATAAGACGAGAATGAAGGAAGCAGAAAAGTGTCATGCAAGAGTTAGTCTGTTAAGCCACTCCAAACACTACTCGCAGAAGGACAATGTTTGACCAAAGAGGGCATTACTGTTCTCTTGTGAGATAAAATGGATGCCTACTACTGTTAAGATGTACTTTGGATTACTTTAAACACTAGACTAAAATATTCTTCATCAGAATAAACTTTTTTTTCTACTTAAAGTGTATGTAGCAAAAACTAGAAGAAAAAAAGAGGCATATCTATAAATAATAAGTCTTCTAAGGTTATACTCTAACATTTTTATTCAACCCCAGGGTAAACATGAGAGAATAAAAGTAAGAGGGTCAGAATTAGTGCTGACATCTGTCTCCATTTTTAAAAGTAAAGATGAATTTAAAACTATTAAAGTTATAATGTGAAAAGCTATTTGACCTGGGTAACACTGGGTCTCC